CAGAGGTATACCAACCGGTGGCAACTAACGATTTCAAATTGGCTCACTACTTGACTAGCCCATTGGTCCTAAGCAAATCGATTAACGTACCCCATTCTGGTCGAAATTCCATTACTACTCTATGTTTGTTTTGATTCGCTATGATAGTTTGACAGGTAAAATGAGGGGCTCGTGGATTTTCCTATGTTTCGAGGGGTGCATCGATTAGTTTGGGACCGAAGAGAGTACCAGAGCTGAGTCAAAAAGTTGAGTACGTTTCTTCGGGACCTTCCAGTCTTAAGCTGGGTTTAGACAGGGCAAATCAATTGATCAAGTCAGTTGAATTCAACTGACTTGAACGCGAATTGAACGTGTAAACCATGCCATTCAACTGACTTGATCAACTCACTTGAATTGAAAAAAGTTGAACCAGGCTCATCTTTTCAAGCCAATTGAATTCAACTGAGTTGATCATTTGACTTGCCTAGTCTAAACCCAGCATTAGAGTTACCTCTATGGGTATACCGTGTAAAAAACGTCTAAAAAAACCTACCAAGATTTTGATTTTTCACGTGCTAAAATATATTTATAACAAATATGCTAATGTCATTCGTAAATATAGACATATTTAAAAAAAAAATCTGTTTTTACACAAAAAATTGTGAAATTTTTTTCGATTCTTGATTTTTGATTGCTGGAACCAGTTCACTTTTTGCACGAGGTGCTTAAAACCATTTTTGTTGTTCATTCAGAAGTTCTAGTTATGGAACTAGAACAACCGATCGGCAAAGGTTAAATTAATGAACTCATCGGGAGCTAGGGCTACTAATACCAACAATCAATACGAAACTAACGATTTTAAATTGGCTCACCACTTTAGTAGCCTATTGGTCCCAAGCAAACGATTACCGTACCCTATTGTAGTCGAAATTCTAGTACTACGCAATGTTTGTTTTGATTCGCTATGAAAGTTTGACAGATAAAATGAGGGGTTATTGGTTTTTCCTATGTTTCGAGGGGTGAATCGATTAGCTTGGGACCGAAGAGAGTACCAGAGCTGAGCCAAAAAGTTGAGCAAGTTATTTCGGGACCTTCTAGTCTTAGAGTTACTTCTATGCTAATACCATAGAGGTAACTCTAAGACCACTGGGTCCCGAAGAAAATCATTATTATTTTTGGCTCACTCAGTACCAGAACAACGGTCCCAAGCAGTCCCGAGCTATTTCACTCACCCCTGCATGTTCTGCATGAATCCACACACCCCTGATGTTATCTGTCAAACTTTCATAGCGAATCAAAACAAACATAGTGTAGTAATAGAATTTCAACTAGAATAGGGTACGTTAATCGTTTGCTTGGGACCAATAGGCTACTAAAGTGGTGAGCCAATTAAAAATCGTTAGTTTCGTATTGATTGTTGCTAATACCCCGTTCACATTACAGCCTATATCACGTAATATAGGCTGTCTTGCAATGAGCACTCATACAAAGGATTTCCAGTGAATACTAGATGTATGAGTGCTCATTGCAAGACAGCGTATATCACATGATATACGCTATAATGTGAATGGGGTATAACCAACAATCAATTCGAAACAAACGATTTTAAATTGGCTCACTACTTGACTAGCCTATTGGTCCCAAGCAAATCGATTAACGTACCCCATTCTAGTCGAAATTCCATTACTACACTATGTTTGTTTTGATTCGCTATGAAAGTTTGATAGATACAATGAGGGGTTCGTGGATTTTCTTATGTTTCGAGGGGTGCATCGATTAGCTTGGGACCGAAGATAGTACCATAGAGGTAACTCTAAGATTAGTAGGTCCCGAATAAACGTGCTCAACTTTTTGACTCTGCTGTGGTACCATAGAGGTAACTCTAAGACTAGAAGGTCCCGAAATAACGTGCTCAACTTTTTGGCTCAGCTCTGGTACTCTCTTCGGTCCCAAGCTAATCGATTCACCCCTCGAAACATAGGAAAAACCAATAACCCCTCATTTTATCTGCCAAACTTTCATAGCGAATCAAAACAAACATTGCGTAGTACTAGAATTTCGACTAAAATGGGATACGTTAATCGTTTGCTTGGGACCAATAGGCTAGTCAAGTAGTGAGCCAATTTAAAATCGTTAGTTTCGTATTGATTGTTGGTGGTACTATCTTCGGTCCGAGCTTCGGTCCCAAGCTAATCGATTCACCCCTCAAAACATAGGAAAATCGTCAGTTTCGTATTGATTGTTGGTAGTACCAGAGCTGAGCCAAAAAGTGAGGCTCGTTTCTTCGGGACCTTCTAGTCTTAGAGTTACCTCTATGGTATAACAGTTTTTAGAAGTGCTCAATTTTTGCGTATTCTTGATACATTAAAATAATTATATCTTTAAAAATTCTCATGAAACCCCCTAATGTTTATACATATGACCGTCATAAAGCTGTAGGTAATGGTTGCAGCTGCAATAAAACCTTCATACATTTTGAAGATAGCCAAGCAGCTCTAGATTTGTTACTTGGGTTATCATCTCGATCCTGTTGCTCCCTTGCACCTGACAACTGCGTTGTTCCTAAGCATATGCACAATTCATTCTGATCGATAGGAGGTTCTCATGTGTAAAAGGTTATTTATAGTGTGTGGAATCATAGATTAGAATGAAGATTCGTCCATGATTCCTTCAGTGTTGTAAGAAGGATTATGATGAGGCTGTGAATAAAGGGTGATACGGTCAAAATTTGGTCAAGGGAAAACGCGTGTAAATCGGTGAAATCGTTTATTTAAAAAATCAAATTAAATTTCTTTTTCAAGTTCAATTAGTATAAAATTCAGGGAAAATATTCAGTTAGGCTTCCGCTTTTCCAAATCCGAATTGCCGGGCCTTACGCTTATGCCCCTGCCATCAGATTTTGTACAGCCACCTTGTCCACCTTCTTCGCCGCAGAAAGCCAGTTTGCCTTGAACTGCTGCTCGCCCTTAGCAGTTTTTTTGGTCTTCTTTAGGTTCCGCTTGACAATAGCCCAGTATTTCTCAATTGGGCGGAGCTCTGGCGTGTTGGGAGGGTTCTTGTCCTTGGGAACCACCTGCACGTTGTTGGCGGCGTACCACTCCATGGCCTTTTTACCGTAATGGCAAGATGCCAAATCCGGCCAAAACAGTACGGAACAACCGTGTTTCTTCAGGAAAGGCAGCAGACGTTTATTCAAACACTCTTTCACGTAAATTTCTTGGTTGACAGTCCCGGAAGCTATGAAAATGCTGCTTTTCAAGCCACAGGTACAGATGGCTTGCCAAACCAGATATTTCTTTGCGAACTTTGACAGTTTCATGTGCTTGAAAACATCTGCTACCTTTCCCCTTCCTTTTGCCGTATAAAACTCCTGTCCCTGAAGCTGCTTGTAGTCGGCTTTGACGTAGGTTTCGTCGTCCATTACCACGCAGTCAAACTTCGTCAGCATCGTCGTGTACAGCCTCCGGGATCGCGCTTTGGCCGTCGTATTTTGTTTATCATCGCGATTTGGAGTCACTACCTTCTTGTAAGTCGATAGTCCGGCTCGTTTTTTGGCTCGATGCACGGTTGTAGACGATACACCTAGCTTATTTGCGGCATCTCGGAGAGAGAGGTTAGGGTTTCGCTTGAAACTACCGGCAACTCTCTTTGTCGTCTCAGCGGCTTCCGGTTTTCGATTTCCCTCCGATCCAGACTTCCTGGCTGTCGACAAACGTTCCCCCAACACTTTAATTACATTTGTAACGGTTGATTTGGCAACTTTTAGCGATTTTGCCAACTTTGCGTGCGAGTAGCTCGGATTTTCGCGATGCGCGAGCAAAATTTTGATACGCTGCTCTTCTTGCTTGGACGGCATTTTGACAACTGAAGAGTGAATTCCAAAATCAAAATAGGAGCAACATTCTACACACACACACACCTTCAAAATGAGGGGTGTTCAGGTTTTTTAAATGCAAAATTGAAAGAAATACGTCAAGTTGATATTGACCAAATTTTGACCGTATAACCCTTTAGTATTAACGGTTTATTTTTATTTTAGGATGGTGGAGGAAAAAACCGCTCCGTGAAAAATTGCTGAGATTTCTTCGCCCACTGTTACAAAACCTTCACATTTTTTTTTAGAATATCTACAATAAATATCAATAAATCAGAAAATGAAATGAGTGAAAGATACATTCAGCTAGAAAAATCTGAGAAATGCTTGAATATAATATAAATCAGATACGAGTGATAATCTACTATCATCTACCAGGTGTTGCATTATCTGTCTCAAAGAGAAAATATACAGATTTTTGTGTCATCTGCGGTTATCAAAGCAGCTTTAGAATCATAACTGTCTTACAATGAGCACTCATTCGTAAAATTTTCACTGGAAATCATTTGTATGAATTTTGATATCAAGATAGCCTATATTATATGATATCATAGTCTGAATGTACAAAAAAAAAACTATGAAGTGTGACCATGAATGTGCTCATAACTTATTATACAAATAATGCTCATGCTCATAGTTTGTCATACAAGTGTATCCGCGGCAATAGAAAAGGGTTCACACTGACGGATTGAAAGGAAAATATTTCACAATGTTTATCAAACAATTAAGCAATAAGTTTGAAATGCGAAGAAGAAGAAGAAGAGGAATAAAAAAAGTATATTGCTAATATAATATATTTGCTGTTAATCTTGTTCCCGGAACTGAAAACTAATTTCAGAGCATGCTCATTGGGTCAGTATCTAGCCGGGCATTGTTAGAAACAACTAGTGCTCTTCTTCGGAGGTGGCGCTAAAGATATTCGTCCTGGGAACAAACAGTCTCGGATCCGCTACAATCGTTTAGCACTAACTTTGAAGCATGACGGTGGAAAGGCTATTATGTTTTGCGCTTTGACAGAAGGAGAGACGGAGCTTATTGACTGGAATTGTGTTCTCTTGCTGTGTTTTCGGATGAAAGAATCGATTCTCTTACTAAACCACATTTTGTTAATTGCTTTTTTTTTATTATATCCTTTATATAAGTTTGTTCGCTTTTTGTAAATAAATTTTCAAGCTAAGTGTCTTCTTCGTATTTCTCATTTGTTTGCCGCACTATCTTCATTTTCACGGTTGATCCGTAGCATAATTCGTTTGTAATGTTTTTATCTCGTTTCTCTTCTCCAATTTTTACGACTCTTCAGTTTCCACCGGCATAAGCAGAGTGGTGGCAATAAATTAACAGTTTGCTTGTTTTCATTTCTTCAATTTCAGCTTTCATAAAATTCTCCGGGTGTACTCTTTTTTTTCCTCATTTGGCTCACTTCTGTTTCTGCTGGCTCATCACTAAACCGCAAAATTAAAATACAAGAAGCGAAATAAAATCCAAATCGCATTGAGATTCCAATCGCGCAAAACAAAAAAAAAAAAACATCATCAGTTTATACGACCCTCTGGGTGTTTCGTACCCTTAACATTGCTGTTCTCTTGAGGTTTTCCACTCGTTTGTTCAGGTAGTTCCACTACTAAAGCTGCACATACACATTTAAAAAAAAATAATTGATTCTCTTGTTGGTTGGCAAAAATAAAACGGTACTCTCCCCGTGGCGAGATTCGTCGATTGTACCAAAAAAAGAAATTTGTCATTTTTTCACGCTGCCACGATCACACTTGCTGTCGCAGCCATAGCGCGCCAAACTCCCATTACCTATTCCATTATCGTACGACATGTAGTAAAAGTGTGGAATTTTTCGCCGCTACGGTCATCGCCAGCCGGGCGCTGAGTTCCTTGTTCAGTTCGTGCCAAATACACTTGCCAATGAGAGACACACTTTCGATCGAGGGCCTACAGATGACCAACAGAGTAAGGCAGATCCCGTCCGTTGGATTGGCCTGTGAACTGGTGCTATGATGCTCGACGGTCAGGACTCCATGCGGTCGATGTTGCGGAAGGTCGGCCCCAAACAGTTCGATCATGAACTTTTTAAGGGTAGAGTGGATGCTGCGACCGGGATGAATTTCCACGGTTGGGAAATGGTAGGCCGTTTTCTCGCTGAGAAGAATGAATACTTGGTTGGTGGTTTTGTTCTTGATGGCAACCACTACCCGGAGATAGTTTTTATAGTGAGCTTTCTTGGCCGGTAGAATATCCCTGTGCCAACTGGGGTCTTTGGGAATGCGACGTTTGTGATTCCGTGCCAAATCTATAATGGGGATAATATCGTTAGCGCGGAGGTTCAGTTCGTCTAGGTTTCCAATCCATTTGGCTTGTATGGATTCGTGATCCGCTTGGGAAGGGGTTTTGAGTTCACCACCCACTGCTCTTCCCGTCAGCACAAACCTAAACCACGTTCCCCCAGCTGACTCTACTGCCAGCAGCGTTGTTATATCGACCTTAAGTCCAGTCTCCTCCAAGACCTCTCGTGCCCCAGCTTCCATGATCGTTTCACCGGGTTCCATTCGACCTGCTGGTAGGTACCACTTTCCTGCACACGATTCCTTCGCTTCTTGCATCATCAGCACCTCGTTTTTGTCGTTGATGATTACACAAGCTACCACGTAGGTCACACTTTTGCCCACAATCGGGACATAGTCCGAAGAGGCCAGCGGTTTGACCCCTTGCGCCTCGGTGGCCGCATTCTGTTCTTCCAGCGAAAAGTCACACAACTCACTGGTCAGTTCGTCCAGATATTGTCCTTCCAGCACCCGAATCAAGTTATTCTCCATCTTTATTGCTTCTAGACTCCGAAACCACTTCAAACGATCATATCCGTCACTAGGAAGCCACTCGCGCGCGATCTGGCGTAATCGATATAGAATTCGAAAGCAGCAAACAAGTTACCCGCACCACGCCGTTGTTGTTGATCGATGGAATTTCAAAAAGAGACTGAAACCGCGACGAGACTACACGATCGCGCTCGGTTGAGCCCGCGAAGAATGTTTGAGGCAGAGGGGCAAAAAACTAGTTGTGGATCGATCGTGAACTCTCTTCTCCGTCTCAATGGGTCACCTCGACATCACCCAAGGGAACCACGTTTCGCTCTGTTTTTGAGGTATTCCTTCTTTGAGTCGTGTTTCGTACGCTCCGGAAAAGCCTACGATTTTCGAGCTTTTCGTTGTTTTCGGTTACACGTTGACCGGCGCAGGTGAGATTCATTCACCCTTTCCTGCAATTGGTTCAGATATCTGCGGTCCGATGTTTTCCGTCCGGCACTAAGCGGTGTCCTCTCCTGCCAATGGCACCAACCGTCTATTATCTGCTATTCCTCTCTTGTTTGCTTTCCAAATTCTACCTGGAGTGGGCCCATCCAGACGGAACTCCGGTAGAGAAGGGTGCCTGGGCCAGGCCTGGGGAGGAGGAAGATTATCGACCAACAAACGTCGATGCTTGGTGGAGCTTAACACGACAGCATTGTTGATGGAAGCTGCGCGCGGAGGGTAACGGTTCTTTTTCCGACCACTTCGGGGCGGTGCGGCGTTTTCTTGTGATGGTTAAAAGTGTGCTCTGTTTTTTTGGAAAGGAAGAAACGATACAAAAGAAAAGAAGAGAAATTAATATCTTACACCAGCTTCACGCAGATATTGCTCGCCTGGCTACGACCATAATTGAGGCACGCGTGATAACGAGAGCAAAATGAATAAGTGGGCTAATTAGAAAATGGGTGTGCTAAGGCGAATAAAACATGGAGTGAATATTTTTCAAAAGATGTGAGACATTCCGTGACATTACTATTTTGATTTGATGGAAACAGATGAATGTAATCAAGAATTTAGAACCGGCGTTCAGAGCAATTTACCAAAGTTTGTGATTTCCCACTTTCTGATATCTCAAGCTGAACATTGTATTACACACTTAGATTTTTTTGCCGAGATGGGCACCACCGAGCAGCTCGGCATTTTATTTTACTAGATCTCAGTGAAAAAAATGCCGAGATACAGCAACATTTATGTTTGTTAGCTGAGATCTCGGCAAATTTTCAACTGAGATCCGTGGGACTTCTTCCTCCTCCTCTATGGTTGCTCATATGAGCTCTGCAGCTCGCTGCTTGCAGGCAGCCTTTCGTTGTTGTTGAAAACACTCCTGCTGCTGCTGCTGCTGCTGCTGCTACTTCTGCTGCTGCTGGACTGGACACCACCACTTACGGTGATTGAATGAGCACTGCCCAACAAACAATTTGAGTTGAATAATGGCTGAATAAACAATTTTATAGCTGAAGAAGCAAATTTTTGCCTGAATAAGCTCTTATTCTGCATGCAATGTTTGTTGGGTGTTCAATGGGACCGCATCGAATTCGATTTTTAAGTCTGTGTTAGGGAATGCACTGTTTTCAGACATTCGGTGATAATTTTGATCACCATTGCAACAGTTGGACATTTGGTATTTTTCAATAGTGACCTATTGAAAATTAACTAAGTGTTCATTTTAGTAGATTGGTAGATAAATTTCCAATCGTTTGGCTTGTTTAGAATTAAAATCTATCTGCTATTGGTCGAAACCTGACCTCTTTTCGTAATGCTGTGCATTTTAGTTTTTTAAATCGCGGGGATTCTATAGATCCTGTGGAGATCTATCTAGCCCTGATGTATGTGTTGGTAGAGGGAAAAATGGAAACTTTGCGGGAGACGATGTCTTAACACTCGAAAGCAATTTTGTGAAATATTAAGTAAAACAAATCCTAGCTAGTTCTGCATGATGATTTTGTTTGATTTTATTTATTTGTAAAGTCGCCGGGAAATACCAGCTGGTGATTTGTTTTTATGATAACTCCTTACTTGAAAACAGGCAAAAACTCACAAACAGGCTGCTTTTTCATGGTATACAGTGTGATAATTCAATAATCAATAAATTATCTCAACATTTAGTGGCAAACCATTCATAAATTTTGGTAACATACAAAAAATTGTATAATCCACAATAAATTTCATATGTAAGCGCCGATTGAAACAATCTTTTCGGCGTCACTACAAGGGTGATTGATTAAACGAAAGAAACGAATCGTGCGGAATGAAAGCCGAGGAAAAACTAATTGCACCAATATATTCAGGCCTACAATTCCACACCTTCTATAGACAGGTTGCGCCTTGATAGCTAGCTAGCTGCTTGCGGGAACTGATGACCTTGACCAATGTCCAAATAATACTCTTTAACAAATTTTTGGTGGCCCTGAAAAGGACCGTTTTGTAGTAATGGTTGAGTAATTCTGAGCTGGGTGTTCAACACGGATGAGGCTGTCGAGCTGTATGTCGTTTGGAGCGAGGGTGACACGCTTGGAATAGATGACCGACCCACAGCGACTCACGAAGAGCTACTGATTCAGATCCATAGCATAGCGGTGCAGCTCCTTTGATGGTTGCTTATGTGGGCTCTGCAGCTCGCTGCTTACATGCAGCATTTCGTTGTTACTGGAGAACAATTTTCAACGCCACACGCCGAAAGCACTGCTACTGCTGCTACTGCTGCTACATAGTGGTGTGGTCGTTGGGAGCGTGTGGTTCTGAGTATGGCGATGAGTGTGCAAAATATTACGCAATTCCATCCTCCCTATTCGCACGCGCCCGAGGATCGGAGGCGAATGCCACTTCGACTTGTTTCGTCTAGTTACTACTCTCTGACGACTGTGCTGGGGAAGCAGCATATGCATGTAGGTAATTGGTGGATTTGTTAGTTAATTCGACGCTTTTGGACAATGCTGGACATTTACCAGTTTTTCAATAGTTTCTTGTTGAAAATCAACTTTCAGAAGCATTGTTATCGATGCGTATCCATATTTCTGATCGATTAGTAATAAAATTATTGAAATTGGACCAGGGGCAGATGAGTTATTAACGTTCAAAATCTGTCTTAATTTGTTACATGTTCCATTTTCTGTTTTCACAAAGTGTACCCCCTTATAGAAATCAAAGACGTAGTCCTACGTCAAAAAAAGCCCAGCTGCTCGGTGGTGCCCATCTCGGTAAAAAATCTAAGTGTGTAGGTCCAAGTAACATTGACAGATTCTCTTTGTAGACTTTCTCTTTGTATCCCCACAGTCATGTAAAGACATTCTCAGGTATTTTCAGCACACAGATCGGTAAAAGAAGCTTTTATCTAGCATCTAACACGACAAAAACAACAAGAAACGGTTATAAGCTCAAGTTATTGACGAAAGAGAAAGTCGATGAAGAGAATCGATCAATGTTACTTAGGACCTAATGCAATGTTCAGCTTGATCTGTGCTGAATCTCGTTGACATAACAGTAAATGTAGAATATGTGATCAACCAGCAATCAAGATTTCAGTCATCTTTCAATAGTACTCGTGATTCTGTATTCCCTGCAAATTAAGTTCAATTTAGCTGTAATTTTCAGGATGTAGATCAAAATTTCATAACTATTGGCAGCGGGCTGTTCAACTATTCAAGATAGATCGTCATGGTTTTGGGTATGATTTTCTGAGTCTGTATGTCTGTACATTTTTTGTAACACGCTTCTTCTTTAAGTGCCTTTTTTAAAACTGTTATTTCTTAGTGTACAATAAACCTAACAGGTATTTATTTATATATTTAACTATTCATCTGACTGTTGTCTACATGAAATATCTTAAAAACTATACCATTCATGCATTTCTGATTCGAGTCAAAAAGCGAGTAGAAGGTTCCCCAAATTCAAACAATTCTGTTCGATGGTATCGTGGTTGGAGTAGGATACCACTTCGTAATGTTCTTGGCGGCACTCGGATATCTAACAGCGAAAGAAAACTCACGCAGTCAACATACCCATTCAACAACTTGGCAACAAATGCTGCCTGTTGATTCTTCCGTTGACGTTCCAGGGTTTCCAAACTCAGCGATCAAAATACGACGGGAGATTTTGCGGATCGCGTAGCCCGAGCAAAGTCGGTTCAAAATGAAAGCAAATCGATATTAAAGTTTGCAGTTCCTATCATAATGAAAACTTATTTTGATTTCAATTGTCGCGACATAAGCCTGATATTGTATTGTGCTTTCATTATGCAGTCAAGACGTTTTAAATGAAAGCAACTTAACTTGAAGTTCTGCTGTTAACATCTTGTTTACAATTTAATTAACGTTCATCTGTCGTTGAACTAATGATTATTGATTATTTGTTTTGTTTATCACATTTGAGGCCATTCGTGACTTGTCCGGGGTGAGATTTAAGCTCAAGTCTTTCAGCGTGAAAAGCATGGATGCTAACGATTTATGCCAGGCCCGTATTCAGGTATACATTATGAATGCAAAATAAGTAATCAAAATGATTTAATTGAAAGCAGGATTAGTTTCCCGTTTGATTCAACCGTGTAAAACTGTGCTCTCATTTTTGCTGTTTTAACAGTTAAGTCGACCAAAATGAGATCAACTGGAGTATTCAAAATAAGTTAGATCATAACAGTAAATTTTGATTTGAATTTGATCTCCAGCTTTGCTCGGGGCACGGTAGACTACGCAATGCCATTCTGATAAACTTTCGCTGAACACCTTCGATCCTCAAGTTCCATGTCAACTGATGAGGAAACCAGACCAAGGAGGCGTTTTCCAGGATAAGTCGAACAAGGGAGCAATAAAGAGCTTTCAAGCAGTGTGGGTTAGAGAAGTATTTTGATATTTTCGACATGATTCCTAACTGACGGTTAGCCTTGGTGATCACAGCAGAACGGTGGAGGTTAAACGTTAATTTATGATCTAGTAGAACGCCTAGATCTGGTCGGTTCTTTGTAGTACAACACCGTTGATCGAAAATAATCGGTTGCTTGATACGGTAAAACGACATTACAATGCATTTCGGTAGGCTCACGGTAAGCC